GGGGTGGTCTGATCAACCACCTGTACCTGCTTGTACAGTTTGAAGCCGATTTCAGGAATCATGATACGTTGACGCTTTGCAGTCATGTCATACAGGTCAGAAGCGGAGTGCAGTTCATGCTTGGCAGTCATGTTACACAGGACAGCAGCGGAGTGCAGCGGACGCTTGATAAACATGTCATACAGAGCAGTTGATGCATGGTAGTTATGATACACAGGATGAAGTGATGCACAGTTGATGCTTTCATGTTGTTCCAGGTTTTTGTTTAGGACGTTCTTCTATATCAACGTGCAGGTCCACCCCAATGAGAATCACGGACAATTCATTATCCGTGTGTGGCCTTGTTGCCAACGGCACTTTTCCCGCGAGGGAACTGCCAAGGGCGTTGTGCGCCCGAGTTGAAGAGAAATTGTGATCGCCCCCAGCTTGCTCTGGGTGGGGCCAAAGAGACGTGGATCGTCACCATGGTTAGCCCACTAGTTTCCATCTCCGGATGACGTTAATCCCTGAAGGTGGCGCAAGGGCAGTTAGCCGTATCGGCAACCTTGAATCACGAAAGGGACTAGTATCCCAGTCAAGCGCAGGAATCTGAGGTGGGATTCCAAAAGACGCTGATGTAGGCCATAGAGCCAAGAGTTAGGCCAAGCAGCCCCACAGAAACGCCTGTCGATGCAGAATCTTGGCTCATTTGAGTTGCTTGTAGGTTTTCCGTGCATAAATTTGCTGAGCAATCATGTCCGATCACCCTACCTTTCATTACGGCCCCAGGGAGGACAGCGTTCCTACCCCAGAGGCTTTGCTTGGTCGTACATCTCTTTGCAGCAGGAATGCACCGAAGTCCAAAGCAGGTGGTCCAGTGTCGGTAACTGCTTCAGGAACAGGAACGGTTCGCCAAAGGCCGGAGGTCCGATGTTGGTAGCTGCTTCAGGGACAGGAACTTCTGCGCCGAGTCCACCGAAGACCGGAGGTCCAATGTCAGTAGCGGCTTCAGGCACAGGAACTTCTTTGCCGACTCCACCAAAGCCGGAACGTTCGAGCACGCTACCATTGAGTTCACATGATCCAGGAGCAGGTTCATCCACCGGCAGTTCACGATATGGAACACGACCTAAGGGTCGGCCCACCTACGTGCCCCAGTAGGCACGTCCTGACGGAGGAGATGGCCCACCACCACCACCGCCGCCTACATCACTTCCTTCATGGGCAATCATATCGGGTTCCGAGAAAGCTGATGTACCTCAGGACCGCCAGCGGATGTCAGGAATCACAGCTTCAGGTGCGAACAGGAACATTCCTCAGGAGGTTCGACTTCGGATCACCACAGGAACACCGGTGAGACAGTTCCTTCACGCGCTTCAGGAGATTCCACTTCGGATCAGCACAGGCACACCTCTGGAACAGTTCCTCCACATGCTTCAGGAGCTTCAACTTCAGATCAGCACAGGAACACCACTGGAACGGATCGTCCGCATAGAAGTGATCGGGTGTTGCAGCGGTTTTCTCCACCGGTGATTGTACCAGGCACCTCTCGGCGGGAACAACCATCAGGCAGCGCACGAAGTTCCTCACCCCCTGTAAAGAAGATGCCAGTCCCTCGTTTTGTTCGACCTGCTCCTGAGCTCGGACCGCCAGCGCGAGGAAAGAAGCCTAGGCATCATGAAACGGAGGATACTTCTGAACGTCCTTCATCTTCCTCCTCGATGATGCGAGAGTTTCAGGGTTCAACACCGCCCTCGAACATGTACCGTGAGCACAGGTGCTTGTTCCGAGTTCAGGTTCGGAGCGGATCACGGCAGTTAACGTCTCAGGCTTGGCCGGAGGAGCTCAGCCAGTCCGACTGAAAAGTTGGGACGAACCTCTTCGATATGCGTCGGTGGATGAGTCTAAGGTCCGGAGAAACATTAAACAACTGTTGGATGTTTGCACTGCTAGCAACATCCCACCCCCTCCGGAGTCCGAAGCTCGGTATTTTGCCAATATCCTTTCAGGCGCGGACATCTGGATTGGACAGGTTTTGCCCAGAGCTAGAGTGTTGGAGAGCCCCATGTTCGTACACTGGACTTTCTACTTGAATGAGCCATGGACACGCCTCAACCCTGCTTTGACAGATTCTCAAAGAGGTGTGATTCAGTTTGCTCACGCCACCGACACAGGTGGGATCGCAGGTATCGTCAAACACCGGTTTGTTGCTCCTGCAGTCTACGCAGACGGTGAAGATGCAGTCGGACATTACAGCCAGGGCACGTTGTGGACTGATTCGGATTCCATCACTTCCTTGCATGATCGTGCAGCATTGTCAGGGAAGTGGAAGCAGCCTGTGATCGTTTTGGGAGAGTGCCTCATCGCAGACACCCACTTTACGATGAAGTCAGGCGGAGGACTGCCCAGAATCGGTGCCAGGTAGCCGGAGCGGTACACATGAGGAAGGACAAGAAATGGGTCTTTCACAGCAGTTTGTCCAGGATCACCGGACTCACAGTGACTGTGATGAAACAATACACCAGTCGTCGTGACGACACTGGGCTACCCCATTTTCACCTCGGACCCAACCGCACCGAAGAACTTGCCCGGCAGTTGGGGGAGAGACGAGTCATGCGGCAGCGAGCCATAAAATCTCACCAGGCCCCACGCTTTGCGTTTTGCAGCTTGTTGTTGTCAGGTGCGGTCAATTTACTCAGGTACGATCTGAACGTTCACCCATACACATGTTTTGTATTACTATCAGGTGACGTTAGACTATTGTGCATGCACCTTGATTGACAGCGGATGCCATTGTTGAGCGTTCAGGTCTCGGACCGGGTTGTAGTTTCCGCTCATCCTGTCACTTTCCTCTCACACCGGACATGTCCTACCGTCGGCGAGATTCCAGATCGGCAGATCGACGTCATGGCAGATCCCCTCGTGGGGATTATCACTCCCGAGATTGGGAAGGCAGGCTCAA